ACAGCTGGGGGAAAACGAACGATCTTGCTGACACCCAAATGTGTTGTTCAAGGAAATCGATTCTGAGTCACGGCAACAAATGTGACTGAATACAGAATCAGCTACGATGGAAATTAACGGTTATTTGCCATCGCATGCTTACGCCAAGGATGGAGGTGCCGTAAAGTAGGATTATCTGCAGCTAGCAGAGCTAATCGCCGACGATATTCGCACTCAGTCCGGAACATAACTTCCCTTTCGCGCTCCATCTCTTCTCGAGTCAACTTTCGCCTTAGCTGATTGGTCTGTTCGGCATGAACTTTAGAAGCTTCCAAAAATTCTCTGTTTCTATCAAGGCGTTCCTGTTTTTCTCGTTTTACTTGTTCAACGTATTGCTCATGGTCCCGTTTTATCACTTCAGCTATTTCCTTCTGCTCATGTGTAGCTGCTTTCTGTGCAGCAGCCTTCTCCGCGAATCGCTTACGATGGTGTTCCACAACTTGTTTCGCTTCTTCCGTGGCACGTTCTCGAGCCTTCCGCATTCGTTCCCTCTCCTTCGCTTCTTTTCTTCTAGCTATCTCTGCATACAGTCTGTCAGTATGTTTATCAAAGCATTCTTCATCTTTCGTAACCTGTTTCTGATACTCCATAAATTGGAGTTGCTCCTTTCTTAATCGCTCTTTCTCTTTGAGAACATCCCGACCACGCGCCATCTCTAAAAATGGATTGCAATACGCGTCAACAAGTTCTCCCAAATATCTTTCCCGTTCTCTACGTTTTCTAGACTCAACAAGGTCACTCTGGGCAAGATGGAGCAGTTCTGCTTGCTTTCTCACTCTGTCGTCATAGGCTCCGTGCTCTCGTTCATCCTCTGTTTTTAGTTTTTCCAGGAATCGTAAGCCCTCTTCGCGCTCAGTCTGTTTTTCTTGGAGTATACCACGTTTTCTCGCCTCTGCCTCTCTCAAATGCCCCTCAGCTAATTCACGCAGTTTATATTGTCGTTCCTGTTTCGCTTGCTCCTCTCTTTCTAGTTGTTCTTTTAACAGGGTCGGTCCAATACCCACGAGCTGATCTAATCTCTCTTGCTCCATCTTATCCCTCTCCACCATTCTTGCTATTGTTTCACGATCCCTCATAATTTCTCTCAAATGGGCCTTATGCAGGGCTTGGAGATCGGGCAATTCACTTCTGCATAAATTTTTCTCTTCCGCTATTTGTCTTTCCTTTTCTAGCAGTTCGCCCTTTAACCTTTCAGCCTCCGCAAATAAATTGGCCTTAATTTTCTTTTGTTCCTGGCGTAAATTCTCCCGGCATAATTCCTCGTACATGTACCCTTCGCACTGGAGCACTGTCAGTAATTTGCGACGACGCTCATCCAGCTTATTTTCCTGCTCGTTTTTGTGTCGATTAAACCTCCTCTGCACTTCGTTGGCAAAAACTCTCTTCTGCCCTTGATTGCGGAACTCGTTTTCTACTTTGAGCCTCGAGTAATAGTCCGCTCCCCCAATTCTTGGCTGCTCCTGCATTAATTCTGGCCCTGACATGTACGTCCCGGTTGATCTACACTAGGTGCCGAATATGTGCATCCGTCAGCTGCTGTGTGTGTTTGAATAGAACACGTGGCAAAAATCGATAGACCGATGCAGCATTATTATACTTCCGTTCAGGTATAATAGCGCTGAAATAACTAAGAAAAATGCAACCGGTTTTGAGATGCATCGTTAAACTCAACCTCATACACAAGGACTCAATTCCGTTCTGCACCGTGTGTTATTTACTTGTGAAGTTAATCCAGCAAATGAGGCCAATCCATATTGAAAACCGAAGAACTATCTCATCCGTACAGATGAAATAACGTTCCTCAAGAATAGTGTTGCTGTGGCGACGAACTGACATTTTGACATAACCTCACAGATTCAAGTCGGTTAAATGGCGCTGCACAACGTGGATTTCTGGCCTGGTCAATTCAAGAATTGCCCAACACCTGAATGCTATCCATGTGAACGACGCGTCCTTTCAACTTCTGTCAAGCAACTAATGTACTAGTTAGACCCAGAGGAAGGGCGCTAAATTGGTCCAGACCCTCTCGTGTCAAGGAGATTGTCAAGAGTTATGTAGAAGTAGGTACATGTGTTCTCAAAATTGGAATCTTTCACTCCAGTCATTTTATTGATCAACTCACCTGCAGCAAGAAAGCGAAGTTTTTGTATGTCACGGAGTGTTCCTTCATCATGCAAAAGTTACTAGCTTAGGATTTTGCAATCAATTTCTGTTACGGTAATCAAAGAAAAGAAAATTAAATAGATTCAGTCGACTTTTGTATAGCAATCCTTGTACAGCTTCTACCTCTGCTTGTTTTTTGCCCGAAGAATGCGGTTGTGAGATCCCAGAGAGAATCACAACGGTCTCCAGCCGATCCGGTGTTGGTCCCGGAGAAATCGTTCGTTACCATTTCATAATAAATTAGAATAATGAGCGTTCAGTGCTTAAAGTTCTACTTCAGTGGTTTATTCTGGTTGCAGACTGCCTGAACCTTCAGTGAAACAATAGCACTCCGTCCTGGGGGAGATTTACTATTGACAGAAGATACAAAAACACATGCCCACGTTTGGAGTTGCTAAGTCGGGATGAATTATGTTATGGGAACATTTCTGTCCGGATAACCAAACATACATGCGGAAGGTTGTACAGGCAAACTCACGAAAGACAGTATAGAACAGCCGTAGGTGAAGTAGAGTCTGGTTCCAGTAAAGTTGATCACTACCCTCAAAAATGGCCGTTAGAACAAAATAGTATTTGCCTCTATACAACGTAATTTTTGTACAGTTCTCTGTCAGCTACTGGCTTGGGGCGTCGCAGTGGATAATGCACAATGTAGGGATTGCGATGCATTTTGTAGATAGTTGGTCAGTGGATGGGCGAGTGAGTATCGGGCTGGAGTATCCAGCTCACCTCTTCAGCCCTTCCTCATAGTCCGTTATTGGCTGACTTTCGGTGTCTCAAAGGTTAATTTGCTGACCTTACTGTGGGCCTGAAGCGCGACAGACCAGCCGTGAAAGAGTGAAATAATCACCAACATTATCAGCTTTCCCGTGTTGGAAGCCATTTCTGACCAGCAATTCGTACGATAATCCTTTTCGAGGGTTGGGCCTGGTGATGCAAGCTTCGGAAACTGCAAGCGCTGATCGTGATTGTAGTGGCAGTTCACTAAGAGAATCCTACTGTGGATCCACTCTTTGTGGTGCCGAGATGTTAATCTAAGTTTCGATGCGGAACGTCTTCGGACGACCAGCATGGAGCGTTAGAAAGAATCACACTGTCCAAGGACTAGTCTCAAGTTGAAAATGTGGTCGACGCGACCTCAACCAGGGCAAAACTCAGCTTGATTCTCACGAGCATGTCTCCTCCAATAATCTATCAACCTGCGCAAAATATTGCCAGAGAGCACCTTGAATGCCACAGCTACCGGGCTAGTGCCTGGCAGTGCCTAAGGTCGTAATCCAGATACAGCTATAACAAAATCAGAACCGTGGAAAGAAATCGAGTGAACAGTTAGTGCGCAAATTGGTTCTGGCCTAATCCAAAATATAACCCGAAATGGTCCTGACGAAGATATCCCAAATGACAAGCTGTTGTTATTGGAGCCATCTTAGAACTTCCCAGTCTACGAAACAAGCAGGCCATCAAAACAGCGAAACAGTGCAAAGTAGAAAGCTCAGGATTTCAATAAACTCGGTAGTACTACAAAGTCTGGTAACATGTTTTAGATAACGTGTTTCAACCTATCAAGGAATTAATCATTTTCTCAATAGCTTGTCTTTCCTTTAGTCCACTGAACCGATCCACTTCCTTGCCATTCTTTATTGCTATCACAGTCGGCACTGCAGATATCTGAAGAGAAGAGAAGTTGACGAACAGCTTTGGATGAGTGGAAAAACACGGCCATTAAACTCAGAATATTCACAAAATAGCAATGATATAAGGCTAAGATGGGGAATTTCGTTGGTATAAAATGAGTCACCTACCACAGGAACGCGTAGTGAGATCAGATCATTTCTACACAGGATTTCGATTAACAGATAGTGAATTAACATTCCGTCGCCTTCAAAAACGTGGAACTTATCGAACTGCCTCCCAAAACGAGTTGCATTTACAAGTCAGCCGATTCATATATTCAAGTCTATCAAATGTACCAATTCGCGAGCAGTGAAGAAAGTGGTAATTTTAAAGCTTCATTCCCTACCTTGGAATAGTGAGCTAGTAAGTGGTATGGATGCATGCTGAAGCCTTAGGTGTACTTCAGTATATATATATATATATATATATATATATATATATATATGCAAGCCTACGCAAAAGGAATGAAACGCAAGCCCACTAAAGAGTATTAGGGTAAAATCCCAATGCTTCATCGCAAACCACCGAAAAGTTGGCCAAGGAAATACTTACCTTATAAGTGGCTGCAAGCGTATCGTTCTGATCTACGTCGACCTTTGCCAGTAGTATCGAATTCATGTGAGATTTCATCACCTCTTCTAAACGAGGACCAAGCAGTTTGCAGGGACCGCACCTATGAAAAGTGGATATATGATTCAAACCCGATAGTATACGGCAAACCATGCAGCTGGGATGTCCTTGTACAATACATCTGACAATAGTTCATTTGACCCCAGGCTTTCTACTGGTAGATTATTTATCCCTACACACAAACAACAAAAAGCGGAAGGTGCAAACCACGCTAGCCACTGCACCTGTCTAAAGTTATGCAAACGAGACGACTAAGGTTGGAGGT